CAGTTGGGCATAATTTGATAGTGGTTGCTACTTCTAATCCATGTTTTTAATGATTCTTGGTTTTAGATCTCTATCGCCATATAATTATGAAATCTACGTAATGCAACATGTAAGATTGCAACATGAATTATCGTGCATTTCCATGCCTGAAAAGCATTTTGGTCAAAGGAGATCCTTTTCTCCCATCAATTTAGTTGATAATAATCGAGCAACTACTCTTCCTGTTGGTGTAGACAAAGGCTATACATTTGTTATTGGCACACATAGGCCTTCAGTGGAAATCCTGTCATTTGTACATGATGAAGGAGTAAAAGTTCTTGCATCTGGGATTATTTCCTTGACGAATACTCTGGGAACTACTATTAGTGGCTGTATTCCTCAAGATGTGAGGCTTGTTTTAGTTGATCAATTCTATGTGCTTTCTGGATTAAGGAATGGGATGCTTCTTCGATTTGAATGGCCTCATACCTCTTCTACGTCTTTGTCAGTGGTGCCTTGTTATGGTTCCGCTGGTCCTTTTTCGGAAAACCAAGACATGGTAATGGATGCAAGTTCTGTTAGTTCGGAAATTTGTGGTGTTAACTTATCTGAGAAGAGAAAGGAGGACCTGCCTGTTAATCTTCAATTAATTGCCATGCGCCGTATTGGTATTACTCCTGTTTTTTTGGTTCCCTTTAGTAATTCACTTGATGCAGACATGATAGCTCTTAGTGATCGGCCATGGTTGTTGCAAACTGCACGGCACAGTCTTTCATATACTTCCATCTCATTTCAACCTTCCTCGCATGCAACTCCCATATGTTCTGCTGAATGCCCTAAGGGAATTTTATTTGTTTCAGAGAGCTGTCTGCATTTGGTAAGTATTTTCTTTGTGAATATATATTTTAATTCTAATCTCAATTCTAAGATTAATCATCACATGGTGATTTAAGTTGGCGAAAAATGTAGGCATTTAGATTATGATTAGAAAAATTCAAGTCACTGTTATTAAATGTCAGGTCTTTTAAGGACAGAATTTTACTGATATTCTTGGATGGCTCCTGTATTTGTCCTGTATTATTCTGTAGGTAGAGATGGTGCACTGTAAAAGACTTAATGTGCAGAAGTTTCACCTTGGAGGCACACTGCGGAAGGTCCTGTATCACAGTGAAAGCAGGTTATTGGTTGTGATGAGAACTCAATTGCCCAATGATACATGTTCATCTGACATATGCTGTGTAGATCCCCTTAGTGGTTCAGTGCTGTCATCCTTTAAACTTGAACATGGAGAAACTGGAAAGTCAATGGAATTCGTGAGGGTGGGAAATGAACAAGTTCTCATAGTTGGGACGGGTATATCTTCTGGTCGAGCTATGATGCCGAGTGGTGAAGCTGAAAGGTTTGTAATCTGATCCTTTATCTTTATTTGACCAATTTTACTTTTGTTTGATAGTGAAATATTGAAGTTTCCATGACTTTTTTAGAATGGATAAGGATCATTTTTTGAGGATCAACTGAAAAATTAGGCTTTAGAGAATGCAATTGATTTGGGTTTTGGTCATTTTTTGAGGTTCTACTTTCTTTCGTATCATCTTTCTTTTTCCCCTTTTCTTTCTTTGCTTTATTTGTCTCAGTTTAACTAAACATTCTTTACTTCATTTAAGCTCTAGCTCAAACAGAAATTCCTACTTCACTACTCTACTTAAATAGAGCTGCATAAATCCATTTTTATTCATTGAAAAAAATAGCTTTTTCTTTTTTAAAAATTGCACCCACACCACCAGCGGCTGGATTCACTGGTTGGCAACTAGGAACAGGTGTCAACCACTGTATCAGGGCAAGGTGGCTGTACAATTGCTGCGACAGTCATGCAGCCGCTATGACCAGAACCAGATGGTCATGCAGCTGCCTTACTAAAACCAGAGTATCTTACCAAAACTAGAGTACCAGGCTGTTGAGATAGCCCATTGTGCATGGTGGGTCCTAATAACGCTAATTGTGGATTATCTGGTATTGGATGGTTTAGTTGTGACCAGTTGTTTTGCCAGTTGAGGACTTTATGCCAGTCCCTCAACAAGTATTCATATTTTCTTTAAGAATTGTTTTATTGCCATTTTTGTTTTTAGTATTTGACCAAAGTGTTACCGTCCGACTCCAAATATATGTTGTGAATTTGAATTAGCACATCGCAGGGTGAAATGTAATTTTCTGTATAAATTGCTTTTTGGTTATTATACAAGTTTTCTATCTATATTAGTATTTGTATACGCTATTTTGGTAATTTTATAAATCAAAGGCGCTACAAGTCTTGCAACAGCAAACAGACAGCAAGCAGAAAGCCCATGCGCACTATATCTTTTTTTTTTTGGGTAAATTACAGAGAAGTCCTAAAGTTTTAGTGTAATTACAATAAGGATCTGCAATTTAAAAAGAAAAATGATAATATAGTCATTCTACAAAAATGTGTGTGTATATATATATATATCAATTAAGTTTGGTAAAGAAAAGTTTAATATATATCATGTGACATTCATGTGATTGTGTTCAAGCATTGGTGGTCTAAGGGTTAGGGTGAAGGCTGGACTGCTACGGAAAGGATCACTTTTTCTAGTAAAAATCATTGAATGTTTGATAATCATTTTGGGGACCGCGATCCTATTGGAGAAGATGACCTCCTTGGCTTCCCTTTGGGCTAAGGCTCATGGGAATTACTTGGATATTTCCTTGCCTGTTCTATATAGGAATTGGGATGCTATGGTCAGTGCTGTGTCTGTTGTTTTGTTATGCTTTGTTCTTTTTAAAATTATGCTCTTTTTAGTCTTTCCCGGCTGGATACCTTATTGGCTGTATCTTTTGTAATGTTCACTTCGCTGTTTCTTTTTCTATAAAAAAAAGCATTCATGTGACTGTCAAATAATAAAAGACAACAGCATGATAGGCCACGCGGCTTGAAAAGATACAAAAAGAATAATGCTTTTAATATATATGGTAAAGAAAAGATAACAGTAAGAGTTTGAAGAAGAGTGCATATGAGCCCATTATAATTTTTTTAATAAAAATTCTTGCAACTGTAAAATGATGACAGAATTAAGTGTTAATTTTACAATCTATGGTCCTAATTTAATTATACCAAATCTTAAGGACTTTGGTGTAGTTTATCCTTTTTGTTTCCTTTAAAATTCAGCCGGAGTTAAGCATGATTTTGGGTACTACCTCATACATATAGTCATTACTGGACTTCCTTTACACAGCACCAAGGGTCGTCTTATCATCCTCTGCATCGAACATGTGCAAAATTCAGATAGTGGTTCAATGACATTAGGCTCAAAAGCAGGATCATCTTCTCAACGAACTTCGCCATTTCGTGAAATTGTTGGACATGCTGCAGAACAGCTGTCAAGCAGTAGTATCTGCAGTAGCCCAGATGACACTAGCTGTGATGGAATCAAACTAGAAGAAACTGAAGCATGGCAGTTGCGATTAGTGTCCTCAACCACATGGCCTGGCATGGTACTTGCAGTCTGTCCATATCTTGATCGCTACTTCTTGGCCTCTGCTGGAAACAAAGTAAGTTCCAAAACCTTTTTGTGGATGATTCATGAACTTGAAGGGGTCAATGATCTTTTACATGATAATTACTTACGTAGATGCTGGTCTTCTTCTTTCAGTTTTATGTATGTGGTTTTACAAATGATAACCCCCACCAGAGGGTGAAAAAGTTTGCTGGAGGAAGGACACGTTTTATGATAGTGTCCTTGACTGTTCATTTTACCAGGATAGCTGTTGGTGATTGTCGCGATGGTATTCTTTTTTATTCTTACCATGAGGTAAGTCTCTGTAGGGTTTCTGCAAGTAGTTTAAAGTTTGTGCCTTTGTTGATGCCTTCTATTGCAAACTTCTAAGTTTTTGCTTTTTTTCCCTTTCTTTATGTTAGGCCTATTGAATTATTATTGTTGGTTCTGATTTTGAACTTCTTTATTATGCTTCCTGTACACAAGGGTGCTAGAAAACTGGAGCAAGTATTCTGTGATCCATCACTGAGGCTAGTTGCTGATTGCGTTCTTATGGATGTCAATAGTGCTGCTGTGTCAGACCGTAAAGGGAGCATTGTTGTGCTGTCATCTCCAGATCATTTAGAAGGTGATGTAACTTGAGCCTTCTATGGAATCACCGGGCACTGATTTTACAGTTTCATGGATATCTTTGTATTTCAAATTCTAATTCCCTGCACAACTGATTTTATTGTTGTTTCAGGTCCACTAATAAGTAATTGGCATCATTTTAGTAAAATGTCAAGACCATAGCCTTCTGTCAATTATTTTTTAAATGGAAAGAGAGAGGATCATTTAGAGGTACCAATGGAGTCCACCAGCCTAAATTTTCTATGACGAAGTTTTTTTCTGGCTAAAGAAACTGTCCACAATTGGGCTGAACCTGAGCTTCCTCTGTGCATTTAGAAATTTTTATGGAATTCTCCTTTAAGAATTGCGTAGGAATAGGTCTGCATGAATTCAAAGAAATGGCAAGAGATGAGTTTTGAATAAATGGCTTCTCAGTCCATGATCTTTTTGAAAAATCATATTAATCTTCTCTTTGGTGGTGAGGGAAACATTTTCCTAAATAACAAGAATACCAATTTGGAGTTTTGTTTTTGTGGTTCTTATTACTGATTATAATGTGCACTTCATTTGGCTGTCCTGATCTTCTAGTGGCTATCATTTAATAGCGGTGGTGTTAATGCTCATAATAGGTTGCTAGACATACTTCCACATGAAAATACCATATTTATTAGTGTGCATGTTGTATGGGGATTGATCTTATTCTATCTTAAAAAACGACTATACTATGGTAATATTGATTTGCTTATTACATCGTCCAGATGATGCAAGTCCCGAATGCAACTTAACTCTAAGCTGTGCTTATTATATGGGTGAAGTAGCCATGAACCTCAGGAAGGTATTGTCACCATAGCTCTTCCACTAAGGCATTTAGTATATTAGATCTGTTAGATTCTTATTGATCTGATTAAAACTGGCTCTTTAAATCTGTTCATGTGTCCTAGTAAAATGAACGTAACACTGTTCATATGATGAGTTTAGTTACTTTTATCCTATTATTGTAAAGCACATAAAAAGTATGCTTGGTCTTAGTTTCCCAAATGTTTGGTTGTTCTAAGTGGGGACACTTGGTGCTCATAATCTGATGAGTTTGACTGCTAGATTAAGGATTTTGTTTTGCACAATGGAAAGTTTTATTTTGTTTGCTAAAAAGTTTTCTGAATCTTGCACAAGAATCTTGGTAGACTTCATCTCGAAAGAAATTCTTGAGGGTAAGCTAAGTTGACTAATTTCAGGGTTGTTTTCCATCAAATCTTGTTAATGGAGCACCTCTTCTCTTGGTAATTCTAGTCAATTTTCTTTTTTTAATAAAATAAAACAAACAGTTAGAATATTTATGGTCCTGTGGTCAATATGGTCCTAGGAAGAGCACAGTAGCAAGGTATTGTGTGGACATGTAATATGGTATTCACCATGTTTCTCTGTTCAGTTGTTATCATTGAACAAACATGAATTGTGCCTGACAAGTGAACACTTTCTTTTTATCTACTTTTGTTGATTTCCAGTCTACTATGAAGGTCTTGTGAAATTTTTTTATCTTATTGGTGATGACCGTTCATGTCATTGCACAATAAACTTCCAACAACATTTGGAGTTGTGCTTATGATCGATTTTTCCAGACATTCTGCTTACCCTTTTCTGGGTCGTGTGGAATGAAAGAAATATGAGAGTTTTTTAGAATATTGAAACTGATTTTGTAAAAATTAGAGATAAATGGATTAACATTTTTGATTTTATTTTGTTGGGTCATAACATGAAAGATTGGGAAGAGATTGATATGGTCATTGACCAACTTGACTGATATGTAATTATTTTGTATACGGGTGGTACCCCTTTGGTATTATTGTCCATAATAATATACTTCTCTTTTATTTCAAAAAAAAGTTATTAGTATGAATTGCTGTTGATACATTCAGGAAGATGTTAAACTGCTATTATTACTTGTGTAGCTGAGGAAAAAGATTAAGTTCAAAATATTATGAACGTGATCTATCTTTTTATTTTTTGAAATAATTATGAACATGATCTATGAAATCAACTTTGGATAGGATTCTTGTCAAACTAGAAACTTTCACCTTTAAAGCAAACTTATTACAGCTGCTGCGTTATTCAATTGAATTTCTTGTATGTACTTGAATTTTTTATGTCTTTTAAACAACTTTCTAGTTTTTGACTAACCTTTACCTTTGATTTCGTTATCCTTTCCCTCTTTTGTCAGATACATAAAAAATGATGTCAGTGTTCTCTTGCAGGGATCATTTATATACAAACTTCCAGCTGATGATGTGTTGAAGGGTTGTTATGGCCATAATGCAAATACTGACTCTTCAAACAACACCATCATTGCCAGCACACTGTTAGGAAGCATATTTATTTTCATTCCTTTATCAAGGTATGGATCTGTGCACTTGAGCAGATTGATGATTTTTTTCACCCAGACACTTATCAGAGGGTATCTAGTGATGGGAAAGATATTAGTTTACTAGTGATGATTATCCAGAGTAACTGAAGATGTATTAAAGTGCTATTTATCCAGTCATCAAGCTTGAGGACCAGAATCAGATTATAAAGCCAATATTTAGTGAATTATCACCATCTAGACAGCTAAAATAATAACCTGAAGCAATTTTTGAATCACCCTTCTTCCGGTCATTTTCTGAGTAGGTCATAATTATTCATCTTGAGTTCTTAGGAGTTTCTGTTTTGATGAGTGATGTGGGCAATATGTCAACGTTGGTATCCATCATTAAATAGGTTGCAAAATGCATTTGGTTGAAGCGGAGCATATCAATTTTTGGGGAACCTTCAATTAACTGTCTAAATTAGAGGCTAGCTCTTTCCTAACAAAACACCGCCTTCCCCTAGCCCTCAAATGTATAGACCAATGTTTTTCAGTTTAAATTCCAGAAGCACATTGGTCTTGATCAGCTCTAAGAGTAGAACTTTTCTATTTGATTTTTTGTTCACAAAACTAAGCCGAGGCATAAGTATGAACGAGAATGAACTGACAAAAATAACCTTCTTCTTTGATAGGATACCATCACATAAAACATTTTGCTTACGATGAGCTAGGCAGTTACATGAATGTTTGGATGTGGTTACACCTAGCCTCTTACATATAGTGGTCACTCTAGACAAAGACATGTCTTGAACATGTCCTATGGTGCTTTATCAGACAGAGACCTTTATGGTTTTGCTTGGAAACAGCTCCCAGTATATTTACAAAAATCAAATTTGAGTTGGTGATAGTCCATTGCTGATATCATGGTTTTCTGGAGCTTAAAGAATCTTTTTTCTCTCGGGATCTCATTGACTTCAAATAAGGTTGAAAGAAATGTATTTGATTGTCTCAAAGATCATTTGGTGGGATCTCTTGATTCATATGCCAAAATTCTTGTAGTCAAGCTAAGAATTCTGGCACTTTTGGCTTACCCATTGATATTGTCTATCAAGCCCTTTACTTGATACATATATTTTTTTGTAGGGAAGAACATGAACTCCTATCAGCTGTCCAAGACAGACTTGTGGTTCACCCGCTGACTGCTCCTATTCTAGGAAATGATCATAATGAGTTTCGAAGTCGTGAAAACCCGGTAAGGTGAAAAGCTGGTTTAGTTTGTTTCTAGAAGTAGTAAAATTATTTTTCCAGATTAAATTTAAAAATTAAGGACTAAGAGAATATTGTTTTATTTTATGCGGCTTTTATGTCTTTTATACATGTAGAAGAAGAATAGAGTATAGCATAACTATGAGCATATGGTCTTGCTTTGATCATTTTGCTGAAGAAATAATCCATGGTATTGATAAAGAGGTCCATGAAAAAATTAAAAGGAAAACTAAGAATAAGAAATTATTTGTGGGAATCTAACTAGAGGGGAAAAGAATATGTGGCATTTTTATTTCTATCTCTTCCCTCACGTTAAAGCTTACACAAGCTCCTCTTGACAGGCAGCTTTTAGGGGACATCATAGACCTCTTGATTAATTTGTAAGATGGTGTGCTTAAATAGTGGAGCTCCTGAAGTGACATTAAGCAAATAGGTCCTTATTTTAAAAATAAACAGTGACACATTTAGATAAGGTAGTGATTGTGAAAAATAAAAAGGTCTGTTAAAGAATTAGTGAAAACATAAATATTTATTACAAGTACTTGCTACTATTTTTGTTTTATGTATATATGGTCAAATTGAGGAGAATATCAAGAGGACAATTAGTTCGATAGAAAAAAGAACCTACAAAGTTAAGATTAAAATGTTTACTTTTAACTTCTCAAAGTCATTCGTAAGAATCTAACAATAACCTTACGTTTTTGCGAATATTGGGACAAGGGCACTTAAAGTTGCTTATAAGCAACGAATGAGAAAAATTCCATACACCCACTAAATTTTGCTCATTCAGTATTTTTTTGTATTTGAGGGGCAACTCTTGGTGCTTTTTAATGAATTCTGTCCTCCGGACGATGTATTCTTCTTTGTATGTCTGCTAATGTTCCATTGCCTATAATATACATAAAAATATCCGGAAAAAAAAAAAAAAAATCTGTGTTTCTGTGTCAGACTCTTCTTTGTGCATTTACATTTGCCTGCCCGCCTCTGGTTTATCACACTGTTTCTGCATTTGCTCTTGGTTTATTGCAGCCTGGAGTACCACAGATACTAGATGGTGACATGCTGGCTCAGTTCTTGGAGCTTACAAGTTTGCAACAAGATTCAATATTATCATTGCCACTGGGCTCTTTGGATACCGTTAAATCAAGCTCGAAACAACTTTCTTCTTCACCACTCCCTGTCAATCAAGTGGTGCAACTACTTGAGCGGGTTCATTATGCGTTGAACTAACTAAACCCGTAATCGCCCTTCCCCCAATCTCTCTCTCTCTCTCTCTATATCACGATACGTGACCACAAGAGCAGCAGCAGACCGGATGCTACGTTTGATCCCGATACAGAATTGCCAATCCGCCGGACCGGTTCAACCGTGTGGGTCTTGTGGCTGCTATTGTAGCAAGCTAACATACATGCGAAAACCTCGATTCATATTCTTTCTAGTGCAATACAGGGCTGGAAAATGAGTGGCAGCAGCAAATAAATGTTTGAAATTTATGTAAATTTTACTGTATCTTTTCATGTAAGTAAATCTGTGTTGCATTACAGATAGCTAACATCGGTACTTAACGAGTTTTTTGGGATTGTAAGCACATTTGATTTTCTCGTCAATGGATAAGCAAGCAATAGTTGGAAAATTATGATTTTAGTTCCAGACACTTTCAGTTCATGTGGTTTGGTGATTTATTATTTTATATAAATTTTTTTTTTTTTTTGTTTATACATGTGTCTATAGAGTAAAATTTTAAGATTAAATAAATTAAAATTAATACTCGTATAGAATTTTTATAAATTTGAATTATCATAAAAAAAAGGAGTTTTCAAATTGTACTTATATTTAAACCAGTCAGGCCCATCCCATTCTCGTCACAGTTTCTGCGGAAATTTCTGAGGGGAAAAAATAAAAAAACCAGAAACGAATCCAAAGCTTGGGGTGGTTTCATTTTTCCATTTCAAGCCTCCTCTGTCTTCCATTCCTTTATCTCTTCATCTCTGTCATAATTACTTCACTTCTCATTAATTTCTTACCTAAACAGCCTCCAAAAACATTTGAACGATCAAACTTGGAATTGCGAATTTTTAAGGTTCTCTTCCTAATTAGGTTAGCTGTCAGACGTAAGACAAGTGGATACTCATCGATTTCGTGCCGTTCATTCTCAAGGTCGCCGATCTCGTTCAGTCCTTTCCCAGGTTCCGGGTAATCTCTCCTCTCCTTATCTCCTTTTTTTTTTTTTTTTTTTTTATTCCTATTTCATGTATGTGATTTGAGTAATTTTGGTTGGGAGTACTTAATGGTCTTATTTAAATGACGATTTGTTTGGCTTGGATAACTAGATCTACTGATTAGTGATTTCATCTGTTCAACATTTTTGCAATTTGACATGCTTGAGTGAAGTTTTCTATGAAGCAGAATTAGTTTTCTCCTTTGAATTTGCGATCGTTCAATCTCAGATTTGTCGTTATGAGTTCCTGAATCCGGTTTTGAAGAGTGTTTAGATATTGGTTTTCAACGGATTGCGGCGTTCAGTATCAGACTTGAAAATAATCTCTGTTAGAGAGGCAGAGAGACTGCTTGAAGCACGAACAAGTTTCCTTTAATGGTGGTTACGAATTATTCAATTAGTCTTAGAAGAGTAAAATATTCTTCTTCTTCTTCTTCTTCTTAATTTACGTTGTAATATTAGATTGAATGTTCGGTCCTGAGCTTGACTACGTATGTAAGTTGACTTTGTTACGTTCTGGCTTTCTTGGCTAGTTTCAAATTAGGCAGTGAAAGTGGATACCAGATTCTCCTTTTCAGGCTTTGTTATGATCGTATCATTATAGTTTTTTTTTCCTTTCAATTTCTTCTTCATAGTGCTAGGTTTGTTCCAACGTTTTTAATTATTTAATAGCAGTCCATCTGTTCTGGATCTAATTAAAACTGAGTCCATTTGTGTGACAAAATTTATAGTTCAGAATCTGCATTTTGAATAAAAATCATTGCGATTAATTAATTTCAGAGGCTAAAATAACTGTTAATTAGTCCGTTTTGATTTTATTTTGCTTTGTTTCTTTTTCTCTTTTTTGTAGCTATGAACTGGATTCAACGCAAGATCTATCTCTATAATGTTACTTTTGGCCTCTACATGCTAGATTGGTGGGAGCGCTATCTTTTCAGTATCCTTTTTCATGCTTTTTTTCTTTGTTTTTTTCGCTGTTTGACTTGTCCAATTTAACCTAATATATATGATGACTGAGTATTCTATTTGCTTTTTTTCCTGAATCATGTTCTGCATATGTTAGCTGGAACTTCTAAAAGTGGCAAGCGACTAGTCAGGTTATTAACATGTTGCAGGTTCCCATATTAGAATTATGGTGCTGTTATGGTTTTGCAAATTGATAGTTTCCTCAAAGTACTTATCAAATTAGCAGTTTGACGAAGATTCAGGCCTTTATTTGAGTAAACAAAATGTATGAAATCCTGTTATTATTTCAGCTGACATGTGCAAAGATTATACAAATATATTTTTTTTCCCATCAATTACATGGAAAATGTGGAGTGCTTGCATGCACTGGCCATCACCTTCATAATAATGATTGGAGGAGTTAAGCATCTGGACTAAGAGCCAGTTATTAAATTATGATATCATACTATAGGCTTTTCTTTTCTCTCTTTTCCTTTTGGATGAAAATGGAGTGTGTATCGGTTGGAAGTCTACTGGTGTCCTTGGCCTTTTTTCCCTTTTTGTCAGTGCATGATTTTATAATTGTTCGCTTGTGAGGTCCTTAATTCTATCAGATACTTTGGTGATCATTTTGATGTGGTTCATCTTTTACAATGGATCACGATATGCGACTGAGTTCTGCAAGAGGTAAGATTTGTATCATTTGAATTTATTTGATTTATCTTAAGCATTTTTAGTACATTTTGTTATTGTGGATTCTACTAATTATATATGATGTCCTCAACATTATAAGAGGGCATTTCGTGGTTGGCATACTATTTAGCATTCTCTATGCTGCATAACAAACATATTGCATATGTTTAATTCCAAAGTTTGAAACAAAGCGCTAGATAAATATTTTTACTAACTTGTTAAGGGCTTCATAAAGACACTTAAAAGTCTCAGTCAATCATGATTCAATGGTCAATCAATATAGAAATATGCTGACGAGAGCTTTACATTGTAAAGTTTGTCTACACTCTATAGGAACTCTGGGTGTTATTGGAATTTAACCTTATAACCTTTTTCTAGCTGTCCAATATCATATTGGTTGGACTATATGTCGGTTCAGTTGAATCTCCTTCCAAAAATTTGGATGGTTAGATAGTATGAACAACATTTTTAGATCTCATTTTGAATTTAGCTAGTTATCATTTTCCTTATGAAACTCAATGTCATTTTTAGCAATATGGGAATCATGAGGTTATGTCCACCTCAAATTCTTGCCCTCCTCCCTTTTGCCTCCAGCTTGACCTGATCATTCCAAAGACTCTGTTGGTAGATAAGATCTCTTTAGCTAGGAGCATTTTATGGAGTAAAACTATCTAAAGAGTTGTAGTAAAAATTTGAGGAATCACTTGACATTATAACAGTCCCGTTGGATTGAAGTGTGTTCAGGTGTGTGTTATTCTCTAAAAGACTATCCAATATACAACCTTTACTAGTCTTCCTTATCTGCAAAGCATAAAAGTCGACCCAATATGAGATAAGCTTAGTATAAGTTCCTGAATAACAGGGACACAAGGTTTTTTTTTTTTTTATTTATAAGTTAGTTCCCTTTTTCCTAACTTTGTTCTTGATTGATTAGATTAGCAGGTTGAAATTTTCTGTTTGACCAATTCTTGTACAATGCTTGTCAGTTCGATTGACATACATTTTGCTTGAAATATTTAAGATTGAACTTTAACTATACTGAATGTACATATTGAATGTTGGGCCTCAACTTGTCTTTGTTGTTTAAAATATTTATGTCATTCATGAAGTTGAACTTTTTAGCATGCACACTGAAAACGATTCATGTTGCTAATTTTAACAATGATGACAAAATGTTTCCACTATCTCATGGCTTCTTTATTTTCAATTCCAGGCATCTTTCATGAAGAAGCTCAGGAATTGTAGAAAATGTTGAACCATCAGAGAAGCTTCTAATCTGTAAATTTCTTCCCCCATGCTGCTACATGCGGCAGTTTCAATTGGATTATTTGGAAATTCTTTAGCTTTTATCAGAAATAGCTTACATTTGTTGCCTTATACATTTTCTCTGGTGGCTATTTGTCTTATAAACTAGTAAAGATGCTTCTTCTGTGTATTTCAAATATGTTTATACTATTGAAGTGATTGCCACTCACAAGCTTCTGCTTTGTGTTTCAGGTAAGATTCTTACCTTTGCTTTCTTCTATGACTCTAGTTCCAGCATAATCTCCCCATCTTTAAGCAGTCTCTTATTTTATTTGAACTCATCGGTATTTCTTCCTCACCTTCAACGTGACAAATGGCGTGACTTCGTATTGGCATCTCTAAGAAAAAATTTTGTAGTGATTCTGTTAAATTGAGTGAGGAAATTTTTAAGTGTTGTATTCTTTCTGAGTCTTGTTTGAAGTTTGATTTCAGAAATTAAAGAACAAAAAGAGGAAACAAGACCATTTGGCTCTAGTAGTACCAATCATCTCGCTTCTACGCGAAGCATCTGCAATTCTACGAAATATTTAACGAGTTCTTAATAGTTAACAAGTTTCTTCCTATCAATTTAACAATTGAATACTTCACCACTGAGTTATTGAGAAACAATTCTTTTTTTCATTGAATGGTGGATATTATATTTTACAGGGTTTAATTTTCTGTCTTCAACCTACCACTAATATGAATCTAAAGCTTCTTTTGCAACTCTTGGTAAGTTTTCACGCATGTTATACTTGCTCAAGTTTGATTTCTAAACTTTTTCAGCTTCTATCTATATACACATTCTAATTTATCTAATATGCCTATGGTTTAGTTTAATTGACATATATGTGGTTAATATCTGTGTTCTATCTCTTTGTATTATTATTAAAAATACATGTACTGTTTAATATGCCAACGTATCAATCCAGGACAATTATTGCTTGTGACCTATATAACACGATAGGTTCAAAGTTTATACATAAAATTGTGATCAAGATTATTAATTTGTTCACTTGGAAGTTAAAAAAGGACAATTTGTTACCGATGCATTCTTTTTTTTTTTCTTCGAAATATAAAGTGTAGAGTAAGAGATTGCTACCTGTATACAAAATATTTTAGAATTTTAATAAAATGCTATTAGAATCTCCTAATTTATTTAGTGAAATATAGAGGATTACCTGATAACAAAAATTCAAGAGTTTGAAACACCTATTTTTAATAAAAGCAAAATCATTAGCATCTTATTGTTTATATAATCTATATCTATGTGTATGAATATATTTGATATTCATGATTTACTAAGAGATTATCCAAATTGTATTAGAATGAAAAAGTTGATTTTACATGGAAGAAAGTGTAGAATTATAATAAGTTACTTCTATCATTTATAGAAATAATTCTCAAATTATCTTTTAATAGAATTGAATATAAATTTACAATAAATTATATAAAATTAATATTTTTGAAACATTTTTTTAAATTCCAATGAAATTCATGGATGGGATGCTAAATTATTTTGCGTCTAAAATGTCTGCTATATATATATATGTATATATATATATATGTTTTATGAGTTCAGTGTTTACCAGCTTGTTTGCCTCAAATTGTTGGAAGTAGTTGAACGGTCACATCACAATCAAACACAAAAATGATCACACATGATGCCATCAGACTCTCGTTAATCACACACATTCACACATATATAATATAATATAATATAACGTAAAATAATCTAAAAGTATATATATAATATATATATAATATATATATCAAATGTTTAAAAAATTAGAGTTTGATTAATATTATGAGATGGAGTTTACCTTCATAACATTCTATTCAAGACAGAGTACACATTTTAATGTCCGTACTCTGCATGTCTATGATATGTTATGCGTTAAATACGTGTATATATATGTATAGATGTATCTATGGGGAAGTTGGTTAGAAATTTAATGGCTGCAGCCAGTGTAAGTTCTTATAATCAAACCCATATATCCATCTTTAACAGCTAACAGCAAGAACATGAAGAGCAGTGTTGCAGGCCCAAGACTCACCATGTCAGTTTAGTACGACAAACCATATCGTTCTGCGAGATATTTGTTAGTTGGAGATTATATTGTGTGTGCATATATATATATATGTATATATATTCATATATGCATAGAGATAAAAGCTTGTAACTTCTAAAAGTTTTGGCTCAAGTTCCTTTCTTTTCACATATTGCTGTTAAAGATATACATCCACATATGCATATGTAATAGACTAATCTTTTACATATACTTATAGTTGCATTCGAATTTTCATGTTTAACTGGTTTCACCTTAAGCTACATATTATATATATATATAATCTTTTACATATACTTATAGTTGCATTCGAATTTTCATGTTTAACTGGTTTCACCTTAAGCTACATATTATATGTATCTATGCATGCGTGTATTAGCCGTCAAAACAGTAATAGTTGTTATCTAGACGGGCGAGGAATAAATGTGGAAGGTTGGATACTGCAATTTGCAGCAGACTCATTGAATTCAAAAAGTTAAATAAATGTGGAAGGTTGGATACTGCAATTTGCAGCAGACTCATTGAATTCAAAAAGTTAACAACAAACAGCAATAAACTCAGGGGCGGCAAGTTTGTTGAACTGCAATTTAATAAATCTTCTGGATCAAATTCATAAATCATAAAATATACACACGTATATATATATATATATATATATATATATATATATTCAATCCATTAACTTCATGCATGTGACTCAGAAAGAACCCTAGCTATCTTGCCAGGACTGACCCATAAGAGAGATTCCTGAAGTTGCCCCCAATCTCTTTTTTAAATAGAATTGGTTATTTTGGATTATATACACTTAATTAGATCATTAATTAATAATCTTGCTAATTAATTGGTCAAAGATTGGAATGTTGACTAATTTAAGCCTAATTAAACCTGTATTATGTATACAAGAAAAATCTTAAACAAATGGGATTTAGATACTTTCAACTAATGGAAATAATGTCTGTGTATCTTTAACAATTAAAAGAGAATATAAATTGATTTATTCATACCATGCATTTCCTTAAATACACATGAATTTTCTTATGTATATTTTTTATTATATATACGTACATGCATATATATCTATATATACACACACACAAATAGGGCCTATTTATACCACCCAATAAGACATATACACATACACAAACTTCTATACTACTTCCATTTCCACTGTTCTATTTTCTCTAAGATTTATATAAGATCAAATCATGGAGATCCTGTGCAACCAGGGAGCTAAAATTGTTGGGTCTCTAAATGCTAGGGTTCATGGGAATGGGACAGAAGCCCTAATTTTGTCCCATGGGTTTGGTGCAGACCAGTCCCAATGGCATTACCTTGTCCCATTCCTTGCAATCTACTTCAAAGTAGTGGTCTTTGACTTGGTCTTCTCACCAAATGTCAACCCAATTTTTTACCAGCCAAACAGGTACTCGGATTTAGCTGCTTATGCAGAAGATCTGGTTTGTCTTCTTGATCAGCTTGGCGTGAAGAAAACGACTTATTTGGGTCATTCTATGTCTGCCATGATTGGCTGTTTAGCAGCTATAAAGAGACCTCAGATGTTTGACCAGCTTATTCTACTCAGTGGCTCTCCAAGGTACGTAATTGAATATATATATATATATATATATATATTCAGTTATATATAACCTCTTTCTTCCTTCCACTAGTAAATTAAAAGAATTATCACATCAACTTATGCTCGTTATATACATACACACGCACGCACACACACATAGGGACACACAGAAAGATAGCATCTATAAATTTACGTGGTCAATCTTCTTTTCTAATAATTATAGATAGGACTTTCTATATGAAAAATTTTCAATAAAATGATTTGGAAACTTTTTCCCTTGATTTTGATTCTCTACTATTTACAATGGAAAATGTTTTGAGCTTCAGCTTTATACAGACATACTTATATAGCTTAACCATGTCGTATTTTATGTCTGTTACTTAGGTATCTCAATGAAAAAGATTATACCGGGGGCTTTGAGAGGTCAGAAATAGACACAATCTTCAACCAAATGGACAAAAATTTCTCTGGTTGGGTTCAAAACTTTGCTCAAACAGCGGTTGGTGTGAGAGACTCAAAAGCCATAGCAGAATTCAGCAGCACGTTAGGAAGAATGAACCCGAAAGTAGCCCTAAGTGTTGGTAAAACGGTCTTCCTAAGTGACCTAAGACAAGAACTGCCTCGGGTCAGGGTACCCTGTACCATAATTCAATCAAGTAAGGACAGGATAGTGCCAACATCAGTTGCATCTTACATGAAGGAAAAACTTGGACAAGTCTATGAGGTTAGGATCCTAGAAACCGAAGGTCACTTTCCTCATCTAACGGCTTCCGATTTACTCATTGAAGTTCTTAAAAATGTTCTTCATGTTAAAGGGTAAGTCGGATCTGGTATTGTAATTCTGAAAATCAAGACACTGCAAATCTGTTTATGGTGGATTATTTAATTTTCTCCAATGGTCTGTTAGGGCCTAACACTGCCAATTAGAAGATAATTTTAAGAATACAATTAAATAAAATCCAAGACCTATCAAGACTTACCATCACTTCTTAAACAACCTCCTTCCAGCCCCAAAATGATCATGAATTTACCTACATCGAAGTCCTTATAAACATGTTTCTCAGAAAAAAAATGCAAGAAAAACACTTGGGCGCAATTTAAAATAATAAATAGTATATAAAATTCTGTATGTGTATACCATCAATAGAATAGTAAGTAAATATCAGTAAAGGTATGACATAGAGAACAATAAATACAAGGACCAGCCTCCAATCTTTGTAAAACCTTATAAGAAGCATCATATAAGAAAAAAGTTTTGACCACCTTAACCAAACGTTTGAATGAAAACTCCAGCATAATCTTATCAGAATATTTGCATTATCCCAAAAGAAAAAAAGAGGCACTAGATTAGTTAAACAGGTTCATTTGCATTGTTATGCACTAGAAATAACACTGTCAAAAAAGTATCTGTCCCTTTATCCAATCGTCTATTTGTACATAAAACATTTATGAATCACCATAAAGAAAGAAAAAAACATAAATTATCTTCCAAAATTGTTCCTATAGTTCTCACCGTATCATATCCATGACAGAAAATACTCGAATTATCAGAATAACAAGGATAAATTACCTCTCAAAATTTTTTCCCCTGGACTTTTAGGATGGGAGGACACAATCAAACTTTACATCGATAGCCATGGTCCTCTATTTGCCACAGAAGACAAGATTCATCTGATAATTTATTATAATGCCATTAGTTCCATTCCCTGAGTTGGCCACCCCACCGCAGACTTAAGTCTTAGCCAAAATTGGGTGACATCTACAAGTGATCCTTGCCCCGTCTTCACATCACTTGGAAATAGTACTACATGTGTAACCCCTTGCCATCTCAGCAAAAAACTGTACACAGCGAAGTAATGACTTTTGTATGATTGCAGAAGGCTGAGATGGGAACCCAGTGCAAAAAACAGTGCGTTAATTTTAGGCCAATGTGCTCTCGACATAATCAATTGCTTTCTGTTTGACAGATTCAATCTGTTTCTCATCACCAAGAGATTTTTCGTACTCAAGGTATTTCTTGAATAAGAACTGCCAAAGAATATCATGTAGTTAGTTTCAACAGGAAAAACAACAATAATATGTAGGAAATGACACCTATAAATTGTATGTACCTTCATCTTTTTTGGTGGAAGGCTCAAGCTAATAGCTCTCTCAAATAATCCACGAATCACTTCGACATCTCCAAGTCGAATCTCCTATTAAATTTTATCCAATAATTTTAAGTCATGAACCGCACCATAATGAAGTAGACGAAGTAGAGCAGAATTTGTAAGGGACTAAGAAACAAACTTGATCAAGATAGACACTCCATAAGTCTGTTCTTTTTGGGTACTCCCGTAAAATCCCTTCAAACATCGATCGCCCTCGGTCAGGAACCCCACATTTGAACTCAAGTATTGCTGTCTGTGAAATGAACTTAATATGCTTATGGCGAGGAAGGCTTAATAAAGCACGGTTTACAACAGACTGAACGCCATCCTGATTTTGCTTCAAGAGTCTTTGTACACGCCGCAACCAAACCTAAAAATCCATGAAATGTAAACATAATGGTCCCAAACTAAGTTTAAAAGAAAATAGTAACCAGAAATCATCAAGATACCTTGCTTGAATTCTTAAACTTCTTAATCATTTTGTCAAGAAGCTCGTCAGCCAACTTATGCTGCTCAGTCCTCTCATACATTCCTAATAGAGCTATGTGAACTTTTTTGAGATCACAGTACTGTAATGCTCTTTGAAATACTTTCACCACCGCTTCCTGAAAAGGGTAAAAAAACATCTCCTAACTTAAGTCACAATGCAAACCAATTATAGTAAAGATACACTAGCATATAAACTAGTCTCACCTCCGGAGGAGTTCCATATTCATTTTCCAAATTAAAATAAGCCACCCAGATGTTCAGCTTTTCATTCTCTTCTCGAATATTTATTGTCCTCAAGGCCCTTCATAAAGACAAGTTAAAATTTATTTGCCACTCTTGGAATTAACAGATATCAGCACGACCCACAGCCATTTGGAAAGAA